GATGCCAGAAGCTATGAACAAATCATTTGTCACGGTTGGGATCACTCGAAGCAAATTATTTTTTTCTCGGTGAAGAATTACTTGGATGACTAGCCAGCAAGCCAGGTGAGAATATCATCACCAGCATGCGGGATTCAACCAATAGAAGGGCGCTTTAACAAACAACAATGGGAGGATTTTGCAGGCAAACACGATAAAATATGGTGATCTACAAACAATATCAGGAAGAACGGATAAGAACGGTGTTTTTTAACAAATCTAAGAGAGGGGTAGCACGCCAGCAGACCCAACATTATAAGCTCTGAAAGTTGTACAGTCCCATACCTGACTTAGGTTAAGCATTGAATTTATCAGATTATATTATATAGCTGGATGACTGTTCTCATGTGTTCATATATACTTGCAGTGCAGTACACATACATAGTGATCCTGAAGTAGATCGATTATAAAATTGGATATTGAATTGGGACTGCAGGAAGGATTCGCTCGCGACATTGTCCGCCGACAAATTGCAGTATGTTTTTTCGATCATTTTTGGAATTCTTGCTTTTGCTATTTGTCGCATCGTGGCTTTGATTTTGATTATTGCTATTGCTACTCTCATGTGAGTAATAGTATTGTTTTTTTTTTTTTAAAGAAAATAATGAGAAAACACCAGCGGATTTTTGAGATACTGTTTCCATGCTACTATTACTGCTATTATTATTGTTTGTTTAAAACTACTTTCAATTATCATTGCTGTGATTGTGACTATTACTACTGATTTACACTAGCATTATTGTTGATATTTTTGTCATGATTTAAACGTTTCTTGTTATTGTTTATTAGTACAATTATTTTGATTACTATCATTTTCTTTTTATTATACTTGTTATTGTTATTAGTATCTATCAATAAATAACATTAGTATCTATCTATCAATATTACTATCATTTATTAGTATCGTTATTGTTCTTCTTTTTCCTTCTCTTCTTCGTTTTTTGCACGCAGGGCTCGCCGATCCAGCCTTCCGCCGAGGCGGTGGCCGCCTTGCTATGCAGCCTCATGGAGATGGATGCTGCCTTGGCAGGTAGCCGGGAGGCTTAGAAGTCGGCGGTGCCCCGTTATGATCATCCAACTTAGCTAACTATGGGGCACCAGGTACTGTATGTCATATATTCCAGGTTTTTTTTACCGTTTTTTTTGCCCACATTCAGCTATGACCCAACCAAAGAATCCTGTGATAATCCAATCATAGTGGGAACATATGGACATGCAACCTTTTGGGAACATGGGTCAGAATTGGGCGCCTTGGAACTGGGATGGTTTTCATGCAACCAATGGTCAAACATCAAAGATGGAGGAATGTTTAAATGAAACGCGTGATTTCATTTTCTTGGAATATTTGCAACACATTTTTGGATTAAACCCATATAGTGATGTAAACTGGTAAACTAAGGATTTTGGTTCACCTTAACTTACACATTTAAGCAATTAGCCCTTTTTTTTATCACAATCCCATGGGACTCAGGAATCAGCCCCGAAACCACGTACGTTTATCCGGGTGGTCGGGAGCAGCTATGGATCAGCAGATATGGGCCATGGGTATACCCTCTGGTTATTTGTTACATAGCCATGGTACAGATGGCCCATAGAAATAGATGGTTTACCGACCTGAAATATGGTGGATCTTTCCATGGCGCCATGTTAAATGACCAGATGGTAATTGGGTAATCCTGTTGCGTTTGAAAACATGGCCCCAACTTTGCCGACATTGAGACGTAATTCCAATCTGCATGGCTCCAGGAGTTTGAGTCATATGTTTCTTTCCAACAGCCTAGATACACAGATATTTGCCAACATGAATTCCGAACATGAGGCAACTTTGAGCTAAAGATTCCATAGATCGACCACTTGGAAACTCAGTCTCCCGCGTTTTCTGTGAGTCTGTGAGGATGCTCCGAATATTTAGATCTATCAGTTCTTGGACTGGGCCATGGGCGGCGATGATTGAGGGGATTGAGGGGTGAACATGAAATAATTGAACGTTTCCCCACAAGTTTCCGATATTTTCTTTGTTTCCAGAATGAAAATCACAAAGTGTCCCGGCTCCGAAACTTTGGGATCACACATGGATACCCTATATGGAGCCAATGCAGTGCCTGGGCGTTTTTGGCTCCCCACTTTTCACACCCAGAGTTGGCCATGGGTCACCGCGGAATGTTGTGATTCCACAGCAAAATCGCTGGTGCTTAGGTGGTTTTACCATGGAATCTCTGGGTTTTCACCGCAAATTGGCAAATGGATGTTGATCCCCCAACCGATGGTTGTCATAGATGATTTTACCATGTTTGACCGATTTCCAGCGGCCACAGCCGGTTCTTCCGAAAGTTCTTGAACCAATCCTCAACCTTTAGATTTCACAAAGGCACCATAGGCAATGGTCATTCTTGGGGCCATCTGGATGGCCTTCAGGACATCAATTACTTCCAGGAAGAAGGGTCGTCCCTCAGCTGATTTTGTTGAATTCCAGAGGACACAAAAAAACAAGCTGAGGGATGAAAAACAGCTATAATTCAACCGTGTATTTTCCCCTGGTTTGTTGAATTATACCAGCAAAACACACTTTGGGGAAAAACTGTGTGTTGATGATTTTTGAGGATTGAAACAAGCTGATTGCTTGAGTTCACACGCGTTTGTCCTAATGTGGAGAACCATGGCAAGAAAAGTGTCAAACTGCTTCCTTTTCTATGTAAGGAATTCTATTTCTCCTGCGTGGGGAGGTTAAACGTCAGTTGAAATGCTGGTGAAATGATGAAATGTGGTCAAGTTGAGATTAATACCCCGGTTTGGTTATGTTGGGTTATGTTTGCCATTCTCAGGAACACTGATGCTAATGCTAAATCATCCTTTGGTTGGTAACACTGTTGTTGATTTTCAAGAATCCCAACTTTGTTACTCAAAATACAGTAAACATCAGTAAACTATATATTTTCATTGATGATATACATCTTTGATCCCTTTTTGGCACTAAAAATCCCCAACTTTGATTCATGGCCTGTGGAACTTTTGAGGCAGAAGCAGACCGCAGTTGGGTCGACCCATTGATGCCATAGGTGGCAAGCCGGCACATGGCCGCACGGTGGTGGGGATACCCAACTGGTCAGGTCGGAAAATGGTATGTTCCGAGTGATAGCACGGGAATGATAAGATCAAAACCGAATTACGATACTATCCTTAAATGCATTTAAATACATACATGCAATAGTTGAAATTTCCCCAGAAGTGCCGAATACAAGTCTATTGATGTCTATTGAGTATTTGCGCCCCACTACAGGTTTGCATCTCCCATATTTTCACCCAAAAAATGGCAATGGCAATGGCTTAATGTCTGAGATGTATCCCCTATTGGGATGAAAGTCCAGCATCTCAGGCGCGTTTCGCGCAACACCACGGTGCGTGTTTCGCGCCGTGCGGACGAGGCAGAGTTTTTCCGCTGGCTTTCCAAAGCACTATGAGAATCAGAAATCAGTCATAGTTTGTGTATGTTTGAGTATTCCCTATCATGGATCATTGTCGATTCTTAATGATTCTTGTTCTAAACTCATAGTTGAAATCAAACGATATTAATTAGTACAGACTGCACGGTCTCCTAGCCTCCCTACGCAGGCAAGTGTGCCCGCCTCACGTGAGGCCGCTGATTTCCAAGTAATGTTATCCAAATTTGATGACTAAAATTAAAACATCAGTGGTGAATGGATACCAGTATATAATCGTATAGTTTTATAATTGATAGATAAATACAGTTAGAATTCAGTTATATAGCGTTATATATATAATATACACCCAAAAACATAATGGTGATATAACATGCCATCCAAATGCCTTAGACATGCTTGAAGACAAACTTCATGGACCTCGCAACATTTACGAATAATTCTTTGACGCTTCAACATATTGTTCAAAACCCATATGACTAATTTGTCCTTCTTATCAAACTGGCCATGAATAGGGGTCCATCCAACAGTTTGAGACCAAGCCACGATCTCGACTTTGAGCCCAGACCAAACAGCAAAACACTCAAGATTTGCATGGAAAAAACCATAGTATCCCTTGGAAATAATGCTTTTGTCAAGAAAACAACAAGATAAGAGGCATCAACCCGCGACGTGCGACGTTCGTTTTCGGCCCTCTGCGAGCCTAAAAGCGTGCTGCCAAGGGCGACTTCCCAACCTTTTTTCAGCAGGAACGAGTCAATTCAAAGTATCTCAAAGTATTTCAAAGTGGGTTTGAGTCAAGGCAACGATCAAAAGTACTAATTCGTGCACCACTGGGAATACACCTTTCTTTGCCATTCTATGGTCGGGTTCCGAGGAAAGGATTGGAAAGACCTTAGAATCCATGATTTCTGGGGGTTGTAATTTTCCTCTTGGCTTGGGCTCACTGACCTTAGGAAGTCCTGGTGATTGTGTTCAAAATTGAGGAAAAAATGGACACCTTTTGGAGACTTCCTGGGGTCTGTTTTCGCCTTTCAAACAGGAAAACTATGGAAAACTGCTATTTGGGGCTTGAATTGCGGTGCCCCAAATGTTGGCACATTTGGCTCAAGCTGAAACGATACCGGGGTCATGTTGATCCCATTGCTTGACCAAGAGACCCCCTTAGAGTCCGTGGAAGCTTAGCGGCTTCGAAGGGATCTGTTCATTTGGACGCCATCGTGGCTACAGTTGAAGGATGGGATTACATCTGCACCAATGAAAGGGTAAAAGTTGGGGGCTCCCTAATCATCAGCAGGAAACATCATGAAACCAGAAGCCAACCCCGCCTGGGGTGCACCAAGACAAATTGTGTCAAAAACATGTGGATTGAGAACTGGTCGCACGAGTGACACGAGTGACCATTGATAAAACGAGATAGTTCCCATCCCGAGAACCATTGAGATCCGATTCTTAGCAGCCCATTTTGTTTGGGGCTTCTGCCCAATGACAACATTTTGGCGATCAAAACCTGCAGTGACCGTCATGACGGCCGACCAGCGCCCGCGTGGTGCCCCTCGTGTCGCGAGGGGTAAGACGTCGAGACAGGCTGAGGGAGTGAAAGTTGGATCATCTCCTACATAGGTCCCACAGATGGGATCCAGAATTTACATGAATTTACTATATAGTGAGATCTAGTGAGGGTGTCTGTAAGCACCCACATACAAACCCAGTCATTGATAGTTGCTATTGAACTGCCGGTGGATCCCACATTGATTGTTGTTGGTCAATTCTCACTATCTGTATATCCCATTGTGTATCCTATATGCAAATAAAATTGGTGGAGATGGTGACATAGTACTTAGTATGGGATTTATCTTTTGACATCTTGTCATAAGGTCTAAGTTATATGCTTAACGTATCCCACTATATAAGTACCTTGTTTACACAAACCAGTCCCCTAATATTAGTTAGAATTCAGTCCCAGAGACAAGTGGGGATATCAAGCGTAGCATCTCCCGTAAAATTGGTGCGCATTCACGTGCCATAAAACTGGGATCAAACATCCCATGATTCTGGTTGGCTGGAATTTGGAATCAAACATCCCATGGGTACCCTCCGGTAACCTATGATATTTCCCATCAATAACCATAGTAACCATTGTGATCGATGAAATGCAATGTTAAATGGAAGCTCCATGGATGATTTCATCCCATTGAAATCACCATTCCAGGATGGGAGTATAGTGGATGAGTATCACCATGAATCACCAGTTATAGTGGATTATCATCCATTATCTATTTCATCCATTTCTATGATTCAATGGAACATGTATATATATATAATCCATTATAATCACTACCAATGGATATTAAAATCACCATTACCATTTCCGATGATTGTTACAGTGGAATATGGAATCCATGCACATTATCCAATGGGAAAAACATTCTAATCACCATGAAATCACCATTCATCACCATAAAGTAGCCATGATGGGAGTATAGTGGATTATAATCCATTAATCAATCACCATCAGTATAGTGGAATGATTATTTAAGGTGATTTGGATCATTATTTTCTCACTATTTTCCATTATGATAATCCATTAATCAATCACCAGCCATAATCCATGAAAATCACCAAAAATGGATAGTGTTTCTATGATTTTCTATGATCCGATGGAAGATTATCCAGACATTGCCAGGCGCATGGCGTTCTTCCGGTTCCACGGGGACCCCCACGGGGACCCGTGGGACCCGCGATGCTCGTGACCGGCGTGACGGTGACGCGCTGCTTCGTAGGCGTGATCGATCTGGGTCCCTGTGGGAAACAAACTTCGTTCAATGGTAAAAATCGTGGGTGAATAGTGGTTACCCTCTTGGTAATGACTAACAGTTTGCGAACTGGAAAGATCCACCCATGCTATTAATGGGAAAATCCACTATTTCTATGGTCATTTTCAATAGCTATGTTAAATTACCAGAGGGTAATAGTGGGTTAATATTGGTCAACAGTGGTTAAAAGTGGTTATATAATGGTGGCCAATAATGGTTGATAGTGGTTGATAGTGGGATATTTGATGGGATAATATACCCCTTGGCAAACTGGGATTGATAGTGATTAATGGTGATTAATAGTAATTCTTAACTAAGTAACTTCTGGTAATTTATATATATATGTATAGTGACTAATGGGGATGCCCTCTGGTAAACTAACAGGAATGTCACCATTTTTAATAGGTCAAATTCAACTGTTGGGCAATTTTCTATAGCTATGTTAGTCTACCAGAGGGCAGAATTTCGCTGCATCCAATTTGGAACTGAATGAAGCTAATCGACTGGTTTGTAAAGGGGGTATAATAAATGTAAACCGTTTGTTCTGGGGATACAAGGCATAAGACGATTACCATCCATTGACGATTGCGACAAACGGCTTTCAGAAGTATCCCAGTGTGGGTGCTGCTGGCCAGTCAGAATCGGTTGTTCATGAGATCACAAGATCTATGCTCCACACAGAGCAAGGAAGGGGTATCTGGGGGAAACGTTCGAACTCTTGAAGGTTTAGTTTCGTTTCATTATTGAACCTAGGATGATACTGGTGTGGACCGGGGGGTTGGTGTCCGTGTCGTGGCCTCGACTTTGGCTTTGTGTGGTGGCTTGAAACAAGTTCATCCTAGGTGGTTCAGCAAAGACATTGGGCCATCTATCACCGCCAATGATTTCAAATCACCAATGGGTATCAACAATGTCATTGAAGCTAACAGGCCATATCAACCCATTGTTTTCCATAGTTGTGTCAGAAGACCCGGGATTAATGGCCATTTTCCATGGTTATATCAGAGGTAAAAAAAGGGATTCCAGCCATTTTCCAGCCATGTACTATAATATATACTATAGATATATAATATATATTAATCAGTATATACTATATATATATACTAATATTAGATATCAAACTTCCAAAATCCTCCATGCTCCGCCCGGTTCTGACGTCCTCGGCAGGTCGACCGGTGCCGTGCCGTTCGCCGCCAGCGCCGCTGGCGCGGACCGCGTGGCACCACGGCGTGGCGCGGCACGGCGCGACGCTGTGGCAACGCGTGGCGGCGCTGCAGTGGCCGTGGCAGGTGCCCACGGGCGCGATGGGGATGGAGATCTTGGAAATATCGAAACAGAACCGACATAACCCAGGGGAATTGGCATTTATAGCAATGGGATATCATGTTATAGCCATTGGAATAGATGCCAATTATATAGGAATATTCCAATTGGAATTGTTCTCATGTGTATTTTGGCATGTTCCATATGCCATTGGAATTGGGAAGTTATAATCATGGGAATATTGGCACTCAAGAACATCTGATGATATTTTATGGGAATAAGAATCGAGATATGGTGAACCATCAGCAATCATGGGCCATGGAAACATTGGGATATAATGGGGATATTTGGACCAACAAAGGGGCTTTTCTGGTGTCAAAATGGGATAAATAGATAGGATGGATGGGACATTTTCGAACCCCAAAATCATACAATCTTTGTTGTTTAGAAGGTGGAAACCAATGGTTTTGAGGTGCCCACATGTTCATTTTCGGAAATACACGTATGGGCAGGTGTGCAAGTTTAGGAGGACCTCATTGGTCTGTTGTGTTTTTTTCCGACAACAAACCGCAGCTCATCATAGAATTTGGGGAATTTACACATCAGAAATCAACATTTGCCACGCTATATCTTCGAATGGAGCAGGGTGACTCCCCATGAATATCGCATCATGAAATCTTCAGCAGAAGTCCAACATGAAGTCATTTCCAATGAGTGTACAGCGGTAATCTGCCCATCATGGGTTGTACCCTCCACCATTGTGCACCACCTCCATGGTTCAGATTCTGGTTGAACTGCCCCATAGCGTGTTGATTGGGTTGACCCTTGGCAAGTTCCAAGTGCGGAACATCATCAAGATGACCTCACTGTAACGTCACTGGAGTGATGGTAATTGGCTTCGGGGGAAAGGGAAGATGAGTGGCCGAACTGTTCAGATTATCGAAATTTTCTGAATTATTCTACGTAGGCGATCCATTTTTCGAGGTTTCCATACTGGCCACATCCCTGGCAGAAGCCGAAGCCAGAGCCGCACTTGTTGCAACCGCTGCACGACTTCGTCAACGGCGTCTGGTGGCAGCTGGACCTCCTGTGGAAGGCAGAGACTCCGGATGATCTGGGGAACTTTGGTTGGGGTTGGTTTTGGTTTAGGTTGAATGATGCCCAATACCTAAGTATCATTCAACCTATCAGAATCTAAACCAAAGAAAACCAATCCCAATGTTTGTTAGGGTTTCCCAACCCTTTGTTAGGTTTTATCCCCAATTTGATGGTGAGGTGATACCCTTTCAAGCTGTTAAAGGATGCGGAACATGCGTGAAAAGTAGAGCATTGTGCCCAGCATATCACCAACCAACAAGAGGTGAGTTCATGGGTGGGGTAGACCAGTCGGAAATGGAAAACAAAACTGTCACTAGGCCAGAAGCTAGTGGTTTGGCTTGTCCAATTTTCTGTGGCAACCAGGCTTTTGAACCCAATCTCAAAGCAATGCTGACAATGATCCTTCAAAAATCCGGATTCATGTGGTACGTTCCGTGTCTTCCGGTTTGACATGTCTTGACGGATGATTGTTCTGTCTGCAGTGGTGATGTCCCCAATCTTGAGTGATGAATATGAGCAACCGTAAAAATCCCGGCAATACTAAATATGTATTCGACGGACATTGGTTTATGGAAATTGATGGAAATTGTTAAAAACACGAGGTAAGCGATGGGACCTTCCCAAATTAGCGATACCCCTTTTCAAGGTTATGTCATCATATTTCTCTAATATCCACATTAGCGATACCCAAATATCACATATTATTCATAGTTCATCATATATATATATATATATAAATACAGCAGTTTCCTGCAAGCGATACCCCCCAAGTTTACCATATATCATTATTGTACAAACGTGTGGTAAGCGATGGGACCTTCCCAAATTTGTGGATGTCCTTTCAGTGAACCTAGGGTTTTTTTCACAATCGCTCATATAGTTGCAGGATGTTGCAGGCAGAAAACTCAGGCTTTGATGCCTCAAAATGACCAATTCCGGTTTGTCCAGAATGGACCAGATTTTGTGGTCAAAAAAAAGAGCCGTTCTTATGGCTTGAAATCACAGTCTTCTGCGCAAATCCTTCTGTTTGTGTCTTAACACATCTTAACACCCTAATTTTGCTACTTAACTCCAACATCTCAGTTAAATCCCACTTGTTTCTTCATTCTCACCTTCCACATCCTTCCACTACTTCTCCGGGTGAATAAAACTGGTGTGTCTCCAGGCGACAGGGCTGGGGCCCTGGCTGGGCCTTTTTTGGAGCGCCCTGGTGCCCTATCCGCCCTTCAACTGGCTGCAGTGGGCCGCCCTCAAGGCTGCAGCGGCATAAAAATCATGTGATTCATGTGATATGTGGGAGAATCTGTCATAATCATTGACAATCACTATGAATTAATCACTATGAATGACTATTAACCACTATTAGTCACTATGAAACACTATTAATCACTATTAACCACTATTAATCACTATTAATCACTATTAGTCACTATTAACCACTATTAGTCACTTGAATCACTATTAATGACTATTAACCACTATTAGTCACTATTAATCACTATTAATGACTATTAACCACTATTAGTCACTATGAATCACTATTAATCACCATGAATGTGGGTAAAACAATGCCATGTTTACCAGCCATGACTGGGAATGGTAGACATACCACATAAAAATGGTGATGACTGGGGGATGGTTTATGATTGTTTTTACCCACATTACAAGGCCGAAAAATATCAGTTTTATGTAAGGGGATATACCCACAAGATATGGTTTTATATGGTCTAGCATGTACCTCCATTTTAGGATCCTGTAGCAATTACCATTGAATTTTTCTATGGATGACAACTAGGGGTACCCCCATGACCCCGGAAAGCTCCATTTGATGCGTTTTGCTTGAGTAAAACCACCTGTGAGGGGTAGAATCCTTCAGATTTGAGAATGCTCCCCAACATTCGTCATATATATATATCGTGTATCAATATTGACTGGCTATGATATAAACCAGAATCGTTTTGTTGCTTCTATTAGTATATGGTTGCATCTGCATTCTCAGTCATGTGTGGTGGTATTTCTGCTACGACAAAAAGATTGATCATGTATTGACATTTGACCCTTTGACTCCGTTAATTTTGCCGCTCTCCGTTCTTGTTGGCTGATTCCCATTGATCCTCGGGGCCAATGCTTGCGGGTGAATCGCCAACAAATTGCGTACAATGAAAAACAATGATTTCCCCATAAAGCACCATGCTGAGCGATGATTTTGCTTGTGACATTCAATCAAAAAACAATTAACACCACGGTTTTGGTTGGTGGAACCATGTTAAACCACCGTATTGATTCTAAAAACTCCAGTGCTATTCATTTTTACTCCATCGAAAAAGGTCACAGAAGTTTTTCTTTAGGCAGAATTCACGGGCTTTTTAGGGGCTGCAAATAGATCCATGTTTTTTCATCCATTGATCCACCATTATCCCCTAAAAACCACATTTGGAGGGTTCAAGAAATCTGGTTACCCCAAACCATGGGATTTCCCAATTGAGAACACGCAATCGCCAAACCGTCAGGTTTGGCACCTGCCGCGTTTGTATCGGCCCCTTTTCGGTGACGAAAATTCCCATGGTTTGAGGACACATTCTTCCGGATAAAATGGGTATATCATGGGGATATCGGGATATCATGATTATGGACATATATAGCCAACTCTGATTGGAAGATATGGGTATATAAACAGATATATATAGGAACCATCTTTATCTGCCTTGACCCATGTGAGATCCTCTGAAAAAACATATACGTAGGGGCAACTCTCCTCAAGTATCTCAAGTGACCTTATATCAGGCTTGGGTGAATCATATTAGTTTATCATGATTTATCCGGATTTATAATATTGACCCATGCTTGGGAACTTTGAAATCTTTACGGAAAACCCTAAACATTGGTTGAAAGTAAAGAATTCAGTCCTAGATCCTAGGTCCCAGATTTTGGGTTGAACATGGACCCAGTAATTAATGGTGAAACTGGTGATAAACCATGGGATGTTGGCTTTGAGACAACCCGAAAATTCACCGCAGTTTTTTGTGGCTTGATATTGCCATGTGCGGATTGGACTCCAATTTTGGCTGGTAGAGTTCTGTTCAAATTCCAGCAACATCAATTTTTGTTTAGATAGATCTGGGGAACCATCCCAACTTCTTCGGTTGATTTCTCAGTTTTGGTGAGACGTTCACATCCGATCCTTAACGGCCTAACGGCATCGCAGTAGCCGGTACTGTAGCTTGAAATCTAAAATGACCCTCTGCACGAGCTCAAATGACAAGCCGAAAATGGGAGTCACGAAATGACTGAGGTTTTACATTATTTACGTTTTTGCAGACAATGTCTGGAAGTCCGGAAACTTAGAGCAACCGCAAGCGGATTCTTCTGTCTTTGGGCTCCGGAAACATCGGGGTTGAATCACTGTGGTTACTGGAGTTGTAAAGCATCGCTATAGGGACTGGGCACCACCTGGTACTGGTTGAAGTATCACCTTGCAACCCATGGTACTTCCATTGGAATATCCGCCAGTGATTTCTGTTGCCGGAGGTGGCTCTTACCGAGCCTACACGAAGAAGTGATGTGAGCGGCTGAGTTTTGGGCGTCAAGAGGCACAGGTCATGACCCGATGGTTACAACAGAACTTTTCGGGTTGGTAGACTTTTATAATCTTTTATAGTCATTATAGGTCATTATAATCATTATAATAAGTCATTATAGGTCATTATAGTCTTTTATTTTAATTCCAAGGTGAGAGATTGGGCCACCTAAACAGGAGGAATTGACCAAGACACTTCGGAAACATTGGGAACATGTGGGAAGAAATTTATGTTTGATCAGTGACAGTGAATATATATATATATATACATATATATATATATGTAAACCCCTTTGAAAAGCATGGCCACAACAGCACCCAGCCAAAGATGTTTTTGGTGGATTTCTGGCAATTTTATGGGGTTCCAGCCATCGTGACGGGGCAATGACATCAGCCATGGTCGTACTGAGTTGTATATAAGACTCAGCGCTTGACCTCAACATTCCCCAAAGAACCATATAAGGGATTATAAGGGTCTCGTTTTGGTGATGTCAAAACCCATGGCGGAAAATTTTACACCGGTTACCACCCAAATCCCATGGTTTATCATCATTTTACACAATGAACATGATGATATTTTTGGGCATCCACCATGACCACCCTTGAACAACTCCCCATCACAAACCTTTGACTTTTTTACGCTCCATTCTTTTCACAAGATCCATTCACCAGTGATTTTTGTTCCGATGTATTGCTAGGTTGTTGCTATCACCAGAGTTGTCGAAAAGCGGCAATTTTCTCAGGAGTGGCATTTTTTTGGCGCTGCTGCATCGCTATAATCCCAAAGGCTATGTGGATCGCGTTCGGGCCTCAAGGGAATCTATGTCTATGTAGATGTTTGGCCTCCAACAAGTAGCATTTTGTATGTAATGCATTCCATTATTTTAGTAGGATTTTTGATGGTTCTATCTTTGCAGGGTTGCGAGTTTGTCCGCCTGTCTGTTTGTCTGTATGTCAATATTTCTCTTTTTCTATGCATCTATCTAGCCAGAAAATAGATTTAATCTTCCACACAGGGATTTAGCTGAAACACACACACACAGATATATGATATACGTACAGACACACGGATGTAATGTATGATGTATGCATGTATATATATATATATGTATATATATATATATGCTAGCCCCGCCAAGATCCACCTGTGTGGGTTGTTGATGTGTCAAGGAACCTTTGGAAAAAATGCTTCTTTTCAGAATGATATTAAGCCTTCCTTCAATCATACACCAGATTTCTACACAATGTGCGGTGTGTGATCAATATCCAGTATTGCTGTCTAAAAGTGCAATGGTTGATGCAAATTGCTTCATTCCTGGAAAAAAAACAGGTTGTTGTTAAAGGAACATGTTGCTTACAGGTTACAATCTGCCTTGATGATATTTCCTAAAGTAAGAGGTAATATTCCTGCAGAACCATACAATATGTGGCAAAATGCAATACAACCCTTAATGAAGCTCAGCCTTCCTATTGTGTTTCTTGTATGACATTTTTTTCAGGAAAGACTTCACTTCTTCAAACCAATTGCCCTGAAGACAAGGTCTTCCCTTAAGTAAGAAGCAGTATTCTTGCAGAAACATACAATATGTGGAAAGATGAACTACGCCACGCCTTTTAATAAAGTTCAGACTCCCTCTCAATTCTTTGCATGACATTTGCTTTGAAAGGAAAAAAACGTCACTTCTTCAAAATAATGATGCCTGTTTTGTTCAGATGTTTTATTTATATGGAAGGGTATATTGCACACATACAACCATGACCTGTTTCTTTCAAAAATATTACATACACCCAAGGGTTCTACTTCATAGTAATGCTTTTCTTTGTATTACTACATGAATTTCAATCAGATGGTTCACTCCCTTGTGAAGGAGGCTTTTCACATACTTGCACCAACATTTTCTTGAAGGAATACCATAATCATTGTCTAAAATGAGTACTCAAAGGTTTCCTTTCTCAAGGAATACGACACCCTCTATTTTCCAGGAATGTGTTACTCTACTCAATGAACTTTTGCAAAAAGTTATGCTACGCTTCTACACCTCTTTCAGAATACAGAGTGCTGCATCCATTTTAAGTACTGCTGCATCTATTGAGGCATTCTCTGCAAAAACACTGTTGCATTTTCTTGAAGGAATGCTCCACCATGTTTAAGGAATGAACCACTCTTTACAATGGAACATTGCAAAAAAGTAATGCTACACTACAACTCTTTTCCACATATACTATATACTGTTATCAAGAAATACTGCATAGACTAAGTCACTTTTCTTCAGAAGGGGCAATGTTAATTTCACAGAGGTAGCATTTGTGAGGCTTTTTGTTTAAACAACAGGTTTAAACAAAAAGACGGCTCACATTTTTTTATATTCCAAGCATGCACTATTACTATCAAAAAATGATTGCATACTGACTCTAGAAAGCACAATATAGCAGTAGTTGTGCCACATTTGCAGCATGTTCTTCAAAAATCCATCTAATTTCCCAATAAAAATAGTGCTGCTTGAAGAAAAACATGCATGTTCTTCAAAGTAATGGCTACATTTTTGAAGATATTTGTTTGAAGAGATACTGCATTTGATTGGAAGATGCCTGTTGCAGGGACTTTTTGTTTACCATGTCTCTTCCTTCCAGAAGTGTTGTACCAAGTACGTTATGAAATGGGTATGTGCTCATGTTTCAAACTAAGCAATGCATATTTATATACATAGTGGGAAAAACACTTCCTGATCGAAATGAAGAGCGATCTTTTCAACAAAAGTGTCTTTCTACAAAGGAATGCTACGTATTGAAAAGGAATAGTTTTTTTTGGCTTAGCGAATGCTATACCTTCTGAATGAAAGTGCTTGTTTGTACATCCTGCACTTGTCAACTAGAATTACTTCTTGAAATGAAAGATTCATGTCTGATCGTTTTTTGTGGCGAAGTAATTTACAGTGTTTTTACTGCCTTTTTTCGGGTTTGGGGACTGAAAGTTGAGATTCTTTTCATATAGAGGCGTCAAACTTAGAGGACTCTTTGGTGGAATCTTGGATGCAGGATTTGGTCTTTGTAGGGGCATTTGCATCCAAGATTCATCCAAGATTCATCCTGTGCAAATCTTGGATTCTTGAATGCTTAGATTCAACCTAAAGGTTGTACGGGTATTCCTACGTATCAAGACTTACATACACTAAGTCCTAAAACCAACGTTCACAAATGTAAATACACACATATATATATATATTTGCATATATATATATATATTTGCATATATATATATGTGCATATGTGGTACCCCCCTTGCATCAAAGGCCATGCAAAATGTTTTAAAATAATGCTTCGAAATCAATACCCAAAAACGAGCATAAAACACTGGGTATACCATGAAAATGAGATGAACGGTGGATCTTGGGGGGTACCACATATATATATAAATATCTGTTTATAGCAGTACGAGCAAAATTCAGCCCAAATTAATCCATCCCTATATGGCTGGGTTTATCATTTTCATGAGGAATCATTTTCATGACAGATGGAAAGATAGATATTGACAAAGTCATAGATACAGACATAGAGGAAACAAACCCATTGATCTCAGCAGGGCTTATGAAACGGTACCAAAGTAGTGCCCGTGTCACTGACAGGGCGAAGCTGAGGTCGTGAATCGATTCGTATCCCTGCTCAACAAGCAGGCACCTTGCGGCCCGGGATTTTCCTCAAGTCACCTGTCACCGATGAGATGTTCCAAGGTCGCCAGGCTTCATTTTCTCTAAACATCAGGATGATCCAGGATGATGAGTGATCATGAGAATCCGGATAATCATGATAGTCATGATAGGCATGTTCACAATCATTATCATCAGCGCCATCGCCACCATCGGCATCATCGGCACCATCGGCATCCTTGGCAGCATCGGCATCATCAGCATCCTCATCCGCATCCTCATCTTCATCTCATCCTCATTGCTCTCTGCGAGATATTCCCATGTTTGCTGAACAACACCCCCTGGGCAAACTTGTTGCTGATCTCCCTGCATCATCGACAGCACCGTCAAACATCTGGTCCAAACATTTGGTTAAATCCTATGTTTGATGGCAACTGCCCATTCTTGATGGGGTTCCACGGTCCACCTCCATGTTTGATAGGGTTATAGAAATCAAGCATCTTTCCTGGATCTGGATTTTGATTGTCACTCACTATCTTTGATGACGTAGGAAATCCCCTATGGGCTTAAGTCCGCATTATTGGGTCATATTGGGTCTGAATCCCGCATATGTGTTGGAAAAAAACCAACATTTTTCAACGCGGAAAAAAACCCACTCAATTGATACAACTCCAAACATTTCAACCCCATAAAAGCACACTTTTAAACAAACATCCCCAAACACGTCCTGCGAACTCAGCTGCTGACGGTGACTGTCCAGGCCAAGTTGTTGTCTCCCAAGGGTGTGCGAGCACCTTTGCCTGAGGACCACCCATTCGCTACATCTGCGGCTGGGGCCATGGTTTCCGCAAGCTATGTCTTTATCCAGTAAAAAAACACATTTTCCAACCATTTTCCAACCATTTTCCAACCATTTTCCAACCGTTTTCCAACCGTTTTCCAACCATTTTCCAATGGCTCTTCCAATGAAACTTCCAGTTGTTCAGGAGTTGTTGGAGACCCTGTGCATCCGCTTGCGCAACGATGGCGAGCTGCTGGAGGTCCGATGCTCAGACAAAAACCATATTTGGAGATTTCCAATGACTGATACCCCATAAATGGTTTAAATACTGATTTGGGTAAATCTCCATTTATATTTCCATATTTGGGGAACCCCCAAACAGCTTTCAATACTTTTTGTCATGGTCTTCCATGACTTTGGATGATGACTAGGGGTACCACCGTGACTTAGGAAACCTCCCTATCCCTTTTTTTCCATTTTCACGGGTGCTGTAAACCATCAAAATATGGGTGGTTTATTATTGCTTTACTCACATTAGCAAGTAAATAATATTACAAACCAATATATATATATATATGTATAGATCTATATTCTTATGCTACTTGTATATATGAATATATTATATTGGCTAGGCTATCATGATTGTGGTGATTATGATCACTGCAAATATTGATACTCAATATTGCTGATCATGGCGGTTGATAAGCAAATATCACCACTATTTCCCATCAATTGACTATACTCTAATGATCCACGATTATAGAATGGGCTAGCGCCCGGGTGCCGCCGACCCCCCCTATTTGGGGGGTCCTGCAGAGAGAGGGAGAGAGATAGATAGATGGATGGATGGATGGATGGATAGATAGGTAGAGAGATAGAGAGAGAGAGAGAGATAGACAGATAGATAGATAGACAGTTGGATAGACAGATAAGTAGATGGAGAGATAGATGGATAGATAGCTGGATGGATAGATAGATAGATGGATAGATAGATAGAGAGGGAGAGATAGATAGAGGGGGAGAGAAAGATAGAGAGGGAGAGATAGATAGATAGAGAGGGAGAGATAGATACTCCGAGGGCATCCGACGGCATCAGCGGTTCAGTGGGTCAGCGGCGCGTCGCTTCCGGCGGGCCGTGCTGAGGTCGATGGTGGTACATGGTGGGACAGACATGGACATATATGTTTTGATATGCCCCAACATGCCGCAATTCAATTTGCCACACAATGTGCAATGTGTATGCAATGAGTATGACGCTACAAACTTGAAGTCAGACCTCAGTTCATATTTTTAAGCATATTTGGCCTCCCATCATTGTATGATTGGTGGTAGAGTATCATTGATTTTGAAACTCAGGGATAATCAAGGGTACTGATCTCCGGAAGCTGCTGAGCTTGCCATTGGGGAAGCAGGCGACCCATTGACAGCTTACATTGCATTAACGCGAGTCCAAGACAGGTATGGTTTGTTTGTGTACCGACCGTTCCCTGCAGCACCATTTCAAAAAGGGGCAAAAGTAGGGCGGGAATTGCTGTTGCGGTTCTGGGGTGGTGAAAAAATGGATTGGAGGGCGCTGCGAGCGAAATACCGAGACGAAAGACAATGCAAAGAATGTTAGTAATGAAGCAAAGCCGGCGTCTGCATTCACGGCGGGTCGATGGAAACGAGCAGATGCGGCGAGAGTATGCAAGGAATGCATTCGTAGGCACGTTGAGGCGCAGCAGCCATGGCAATGCATGGCCTGCACGGCGTGGAAACAGGAAGATGCATTCAAGACAGAACATGCAAGGCCACAAGCCACATTTTATCGTATTTGTAAGATGTGCGAACAGACACAAGTGTGTAGTGTTTGCAATACGCGCAAGGACGAAAAGAAATTTTCTGTCGGGGCCTGGAAACGAGCACGCAGGGGCGGTAGAGTGTGTTTAGATTGTTCGGGTAAAGCATGGGGCTGGTGGAGATGCAGCGTCTGCAAGGTAAAGCAAGCAGCGTGCGCTTTTGAATCCTGGCTGGCGCAACATCGTTCTTGTAATGGTGACCAAGTCTGTAGCAACTGCTGGCAGTGCCCCATTCCCCGGGGAAGCATCAGCAAAGCAGTACAGCGGGTAGCGGCAACGCAGGCGAAAGTCGCGCGGAGGGCAGCGGAAGAAACAAAGGCACGCGCCATCGCCGATGTCTGGGCTGCCATCGCGGAAAGAAAACGGAAAAGAGAAGAGGAGGGCACGCGAACGCACGAGACAAAGCCGGAGGCAAAACAACGGAGAGAAGACGAAAGGGCAGAAATGACCAGTGCGAATGCCGAGGATGCCAGCACAGAACAAAAACGGAGAAGAGAAGTGGAGGAGGCCAGAACACAAGAAGGAGAACCAAAAGAAAAACAACGCAAAGACGAGACAGGAAAGGCCGAAGAAAAGCAGAGAGCCTTGCAAGCAGGTAAAAGGCAGGAAGGCAGCAAGCCCAGCAAGGAGGAGACTTTGCCGGCAAAGAAACGACAAGCAACGCAGAGGGGACAGAGTTTCAAATATGTCCGTCCTGCTTGCGCGCAGTCAGTGATCAGCAGAATATGCACAGGGGAAGTAGATCATCGGCGAACCTGCGGGAAGCGATTCCGAGTGAAAGACGGTGTTGTGGCAGAGGAATCTGTTGTTTATACAAATGCCCATTCTGCAGTAGCCTTGTGAACAGCAATGTGAAGACAGGGCAAATCGACCACCGGGGTGTCTGTGGGCATAAATTTTCGGTAAAGGACGGCGTTGTCGCAGGAAAAAGTTTTGCTTACCAGTGCCCATTTTGCAGTGGACTTGTGAACAGCAATGTGGAGACAGGGCAAATCAACCATCGATCTGTGTGCAACAATCAATTTTATGTCAAAGGACGGTGCAGTCAGCAAGCAGACACGGCGTCATGCGCACAGTTGCCCCGTCTGCTCCACTGTTGTTTGGTCATCGCTGTCACGTGGCCGCATTGCTGTCAAGCATGACATGCCATCGGGAAAACCATGTCACAACAAGCAATGGCACGTTCCCGAGAAAAAGACAACGAAAACAAAAAAGAAATGAAAGCCATTGGGCTGTCGAGCACCAACTGCATGGAGGCTGCCTGCACGCAGGCGTGTGCAAGTGTTGCAGGCGCGCAGACGGCGCCTGGAACCGAATGCCACGGCCTGAAGGACTTGTCGAAGCTGCAGGATGGGTCTGCCGCGGCCCGAGTGGCGCGTGGGAGTTGCAGGGAAGCGTTAGGGGAGTTTTGAGGACTTTGGGCGTTTGGAAGGCTCCAAAATGCAGGCTTGAACCTCCATAAAAAGACAATGTCGCAGCTGGCAAACGGCATGGGAGCTGCAGAGAAGCGTTTGGGAGTTTTGCGGCTGGCAAACCGCACGCTGGAACCCCCAGACAAGGACAATGCCGGGGCTGGCAAACGGCATGGGAGCTGCAGGGAAGCATTTGCGGGGTTTTGCGGGCTGGCAAACGGCAGGCTTGAACCACCCTAAAAGGACAATGCCGGGGCTGGCAAACGGCATGGGAGCTGCAGGGAAGCATTTGGTGGGTTTTGCGGGCGGGTAAACGGCAGGCTTGAACCACCATAAAAGGACAATGCCGGGGCTGGCAAACGGCATGGGAGCTGCAGGGAAGCATTTGAGGGTTTTGCGGGCTGGCAGACGGCAGGCTTGAACCACCATAAAAGGACAATGCCGGGGCTGGCAAACGGCATGGGAGCTGCAGGGAAGCATTTGGGGGGGTTTGCGGGCGGGCAAACGGCAGGCTTGAACCACCATAAAAGGACAATGCCGGGGCTGGCAAACGGCATGGGAGCTGCAGGGAAGCATTTGGGGCGTTTTGCGGGCGGCAAACGGCAGGCTTGAACCACCATAAAAGGACAATGCCGGGGCTGGCAAACGGCATGGGAGCTGCAGGGAAGCATTTGGGGGGTTTTGCGGGCGGGCAGACGGCAGGCTTGAACCACCATAAAAGGACAATGCCGGGGCTGGCAAAGGCATGGGAGCTGCAGGGAAGCATTTGGGGAGTTTTGCGGGCGGGCAAACGGCAGGCTTGAACCACCATAAAAGGACAATGCCGGGGCTGGCAAACGGCATGGGAGCTGCAGGGAAGCATTTGGGGGGTTTTGCGGGCTGGAAAACGGCAGGCTTGAACCACCATAAAAGGACAATGCCGGGGCTGGCAAACGGCATGGGAGCTGCAGGGAAGCATTTGGGGGGTTTTGCGGGCGGGCAAACGGCAGGCTTGAACCACCATAAAAGGACAATGCCGGGGCTGGCAAACGGCATGGGAGCTGCAGGGAAGCATTTGGGGGGTTTTGCGGGCGGGCAAACGGCAGGCTTGAACCACCATAAAAGGACAATGCCGGGGCTGGCAAACGGCATGGGAGCTGCAGGGAAGGCTTGAACCACCATAAAAGGACAATGCCGGAGCTGGCAAACGGCATGGGAGCTGCAGGGAAGCATTTGCGGGCTGGCAAACGGCAGGCTTGAACTCCCTGAAAAACAGATGGCAGGGGCATGTAGCTGTAAGAGTTGTTGCCTTGGAGGCCTGCGGAAGCGTTTGGAGGGTTTCAGGCCGGTCAAACGGCAGTCTTGAACTCCCTGAAAAACAGATGGCAGGGGCATGTAGCTGTAAGAGTTGTTGCCTTGGAGGCCTGCGGAAGCGTTTGGAGGTTTCAGGCCGGTCAAACGGCAGTCTTGAACTCCCTGAAAAACAGATGGCAGGGGCATGTAGCTGTAAGAGTTGTTGCCTTGGAGGCCTGCGGAAGCGTTTGGGGGGTTTGAGGCCGGGCAAACGGCAGTCTTGAACCCCCTGAAAAACAGATGGCAGGGGCATGTAGCTGTAAGAGTTCGGCAGGAGCATGTAGATGGCTGGGGCATGTAGCTGGCATGTAGCTGTGTTGCCTTGATGGCGTGTGCCTTTGCTTGCGACCCGAGAGCCAAGTTCCACACCTCCGGTGGTCCCAGGCGCCGCCCCTGCCTTGGCAAAGGCCGGGGTCGGCGGATACTGTAGTATTACAATCAACCAATCGATCAATCGATCAATCAACCAACCAAGCAATCAATCACTCAACCAATCAATGAACGGTATTGCCCATCAATGATGGTTATCTAATGATATGGGTGATTCATGGAAATAGCATATATCAAGATTACATTTCCATCATATCGACATGGGAAATATTAGAAGTATCATTGGAATTTTCACAGTCTCTTCCCATATTGATTGATGATAATCTCATAGTTTTAATATCGATATATTGATAGTTTCGCCATTTTTCTGGTTTCCCATATTGATAGTTTCACCATTGGGAAATCGTAGGCAAAAGCCTTGAAACATCAACATCAGAATCGCCTGAAACCTCAAAATATATACTTTTTCAAAGCTGAAACCTTCGAAACCTAAATTTAAGAAGTGATGTTGGGTAAAATGAGGTGTTTGGGCATGTATATATATATATACACTTAATATATATATATATGTTTAATATATAGATATATACCGTTTGATTGAGTTCCAACTTTTGGTTACTTTTCTTTGAGTCAAATTGCCCTGAAGTGGAACATAAGACGATGCATCCTTATATATATTATGTGATATATATATATATATATATATATAATTAATAATAGTAATAAATAACAATAAAAACATATGTGTATATATATATATCATTATTTTGAAATACTACAGTACTTGTTGATGATCCATGCGATAGTTGGCTCATCAATGAATCCCCAAGTCATCCCAAAGTGATTGAATATTTTTTTCGTTCGAAGAATGGGGCGTTAAGCGTTCGAACATAGGGATTTGATCATCAACCATGGGTGTACTGGAAATTCAATCGGAAACCGATGAGTTGAAAGAAAACACAGACCCAGCAATTATAGGTGTATTGATCTTTCAGAGGAGTGGTTCCAACATCTGAACATGGTGGCAATTTTAGGTTGTCTTTTCCTAGCTCAATAAGGCACGAAACATGGCGGTTCAAGTAGCCAAAAAACTCAACGGTTTTGTTGGGCCATTTTTTCATCCCATGGTTATCATGGTTTCATCCCAGACCTGGTGGTGCCTCATTGGTTTAGCCACCGTTGTGACGACCCAGACCGACAGTCTTGGGAAGGTTTACAACAACGGTGTGCCAATGAACCATATAATAAAATCATATAAGGTTATCAAACCATATATTATTATATACAGTATATGGTTTCAATGGTTCATGTGGTCTTATCTCATAAGGTTGCTAGCCAGCTTTCGGATTCCATGTGGCCATGGGAGTTCTTTTTTTGTTTTCCCACACGGTGCCCCAAGTTGTGAGCGAAACTTTAGAGAACCTCTTGTTTATGGATGTTTTATGGTAGATTCTAGATGATTAATAGTAGATATTTCGAACTACCGTAGTTTTAATGGTTAACATTTGTTAACACTAACAACATATGGTATATACCATGACAGGGTTGTTCAAACCGAATAATCCACTATATATAATGTCAGTGTCAGCAATTGTCAATCATCCAATTATATCATTTATAACGGAATGTCTATATACCCTCTGGTAAACCAACATGACTATAGAAACTCACTATTTTCAATAGGTAAATCAACTATTTCTCTGGCCATTTTCAATAGCTATGTTAGTTTGCCAACGGGTTGTTTTTTTCACCATATCAAATCCCAGAAATCGTTCCATTGATCATGGAATTTCTATATACATATACATATATACAATATATCATGATCATTATTACTAGAGTTATTATCATTCTTACAACTATCATTACTATACTATTGTATAATATGATCATTGTTAATCATGGTGAAACACCATTTATTATCCATTCACCATCCTTAATATACATATATATATATATATTCATAGGGTATGTATATATATTCAACATATCAAATCCAAAAAATCTCTCCATTGATCATGGAATTTCTATATATACTGTATATATATATATACACAATACATTTCTATATCTATATATATATATATCTGGTTGGTGGTTTGGAACCTTTGGATTATTTTCCATTCAGTTGGGAATGTCATCATCCCAACTGACGAACTCCACTGGGGTAGCACCTTCCAGGCGCTGGGCCATCGACGGATCTTGCGGATCTGGCCCCGTCTCAGGAGGTGGAAAAAACAAACGGGGGGCCTTGGATGGTGGAGATATGGTTTGATATACAGATTCCAGTATAAATGGTGAACAATAACTCTCTCAGGCAACGGGAATCATTTTGTATCTTGAGATTGCCAGGGATAGTCTTGGGATAGTTCTACTGTGGCGAAATCCTGCACCAGTTGAGGGGTCTGCTTTGCCCCAATATTTTTTAGGGGTTTACCCTCTGGTAAACTAACAGTTTGCTATTGAAAATGGCCATAGAAATAGTGGATCTACCTATTAATAGCATGGTGGATCTTTCCATAGTTTTTTGTTAGTTTACAAGAGGGTAAGTTTTTAAAAATGGGGATTTTCCATAGTTTACCTATTAAAAATGGTGATTTTCCCAAGATTTGGCGATCCGCGGGGTCCGTTGCGGTCAGGCAGACCTTGGGAACTCTGAGCTTCCCAAGCGCCTCCGATGAGGCTTGGGTCCACAAGGCCATCCGCTCGGACCGGTAAAATATGGTGATTTCATGGTATTTTTCATAGGGATTTCATAGGGATTTCAATGGATTTTTAATGGTTGATTTAATGGTGATGTAATGGGATTTCAATGGATTTCATGATGATTTAGTGGGATTTCATGGTGGTTTAACAGTGATTTAATGGGATTAGCCATTGACACAATGGGGATGAAAGGGATCATCACCATTTTTTCGGTGGAGTTGGCCTTTTTTATCTTCTGCAGTGAATCGGACAAAATATAAATGGGATGGAATTTACGGTGAATGGTTGTGATTTTCGTTAACTTACTGTACGTATTTGGTTGAGATGATTCGGATGAAGGTGTATAAGTTTATTTTTGGGGGATGAGTTGGGAGTTTGAGTCAGTTTTCATGGAGGTCATCTAGGTATATTATACGTTGTTTCCTTTGCTGTTGAATTGTGAGGCATTTCAAATGGAAGTATATACAGTATTATCATGTTTTATATATACATATCCAACCAAAATCATGTTGGGACTGTTGGGATATTAGGATATTGACCGTCGATACATACGCATATATATATATATTATATAATCACCCCAATATTATTGTATTCAAGATAGGTATGCATGTTACATCAAACAGGATATCCAAGGTCAGTGATATTCCCGGGTCAACCTTGGCTCCTTTGGCCCAGACCATCGTAGACGGCTACTACCGTGAAGTTGAGGTCGTGGACAGTGGATTTCCCCAGGGATTTTTCCACTGTCTTGCTGGTTGATAGTCGTGGCAACCCAAGACCCTGGGAAAAATTGATGTTTTTTTGCCAATTACTGGGGTTTACCATGGGTTTTTACATCAATTCACATGGTTTTACCATGGGTTTTACCATCAAATTTTACATGGCATTTTTGTTGTGTGTTGAATTTGAGCATCGGATCATCGTGATTTTCCCCAGCCGCGCTTAATCGATGGGTGATGGATTCCATCGGGAGCTGGCGGGGTTCTGCTATCGACCAAGCGTTTCCTGGCTTAGGGTACCATAGAAACCTTGGCGAAAGCACTTTATCCTGAGAAACTCGCCTGAATCTGGAATTCTCATTGAATTCCTTTTTTGGGATGCCGAAAAACACTATTAATCCCATGAAATCCCAGTAAAACCATGTTAAATCCGGCTATCTGGGTCTGGTTGTTCTAGTTTATTGGGATTAAAATCAAGTTTATGTTCACAATCCAGTTGGAATGACAATCCCAACAAAACCAACCCCAACGATGGAGAAATGTTGGTCAATATCCCTAAATATCCCTAATCGTTTTGATTGTTCACCATGGTTCTACACCAGAATTGGGCGAATCATCATTTTCCCCATTGGTCACCTGCCATTTGATGTGCCCATGCCCATTGAACCACACCCAAATTGGTCGCAAAAATTGACCTGGTGAACTCGAATTTTACCGCAGGCTGTGGTCAAGGAAGCCGCTCTGGTGTCCGCTGCGCAGGAGGAGTGGCTAGGGTTTAGATGGCCCATTTTCTGAGATTTACAGACTTTAGATGATTCTTCCAATGATTTCATGATGTATAGATGATATCACTATGATGATTCCAACAACTATGGATGATTATTATAGATGATATGATGGAATCATGGTGATATCATCATAAATATATATCATTCATTATAGATGATATATCATGATGATATGATGGGAAATTCAATGGTGATATCACCTAGTATATAGTTATCATATATATATAGTTATAGTTATTGGTATATATCACTATGATATATCACTATTATAGATGATATGATGGAATCATGGTTATATCACATCATCCATATCATGAAATGATAGATGGTTATACCAATCATGGTTATCAATGGTGATATCACCTAGTATATAGTTATCATATATATATAGTTATAGTTATTGGTATATATCACTATGATATATCACTATTATAGATGATATGATGGAATCATGGTTAAATCACATCATCCATATCATGAAATGATAGATGGTTATACCAATCATGGTTATCAATGGTGATATCACCTAGTATATAGTTATCATATATATATAGTTATAGTTATTGGTATATATCACCTATATAAATCACATCATCACCATTGAATTTCCCATCACCGGGTCAGGCGGCGGCGCGGATGCGAGTCCTGCATGAGGCGGGAGTCAACCAGAAATGGCGGATTTAATGGGATTTAATGGGATTTCATAGGGATTTAATGGTGGTTTAATGGGATTTCATAGGGATTTAATGGTGGTTTAATGGGATTTCATAGGGATTTAATGGGATTTAATGGGATTTCATAGGGATTTAATGGTGGTTTAATGGGATTTCATAGGGATTTAATGGTGGTTTAATGGGATTTCATAGGGATTTAATGGGATTTAATGGGATTTCATAGGGATTTAATGGTGGTTTAATGGGATTTCATAGGGATTTAATGGTGGTTTAATGGGATTTCATAGGGATTTAATGGTGGTTTAATGGGATTTCATAGGGATTTAATGGGATTTAATGGGATTTCATAGGGATTTAATGGTGGTTTAATGGGATTTCATAGGGATTTAATGGGATTTCATAGGGATTTAATGGTGGTTTAATGGGATTTCATAGGGATTTAATGGTGGTTTAATGGGATTTCATAGGGATTTAATGGGATTTAATGGGATTTCATAGGGATTTAATGGTGGTTTAATGGGATTTCATAGGGATTTAATGGTGGTTTAATGGGATTTCATAGGGATTTAATGGGATTTAATGGGATTTCATAGGGATTTAATGGTGGTTTAATGGGATTTCATAGGGATTTAATGGTGGTTTAATGGGATTTCATAGGGATTTAATGGTGGTTTAATGGGATTTCATAGGGATTTAATGGGATTTAATGGGATTTCATAGGGATTTAATGGTGGTTTAATGGGATTTCATAGGGATTTAATGGTGGTTTAATGGGATTTCATAGGGATTTAATGGGATTTAATGGGATTTCATAGGGATTTAATGGTGGTTTATGGGATTTCATAGGGATTTAATGGGATTTAATGGGATTTCATAGGGATTTAATGGGATTTAATGGTGGATTAATGGGATTTCATAGGGATTTAATGGTGGATTTAATGGTGATGTATGGCCATTTAGGGGGGTAAATAGGTTTGTTTTTCCTACATAACTCACCGGCAATAGTGGAACTGCATCTATCTTTTGCCAATCTGTTCTGGGAATGATGAAATTGGGAACCGATCAACCGCAACGGAAGTTGGCGGCATGAATTTTTGGACCAATCTTTGGACTAACCAGCCAAGGCTTAGTACGGGGAGCCATCCAAATGGTGATATCACAATTGTTTTCATCATTGGTTGATATAGGTATCTACTGGATATCAACCTTATTTTAAGTCCATTTCACAGGTAGATAACATTCATATAAACTCATCAAAATTCTGTTCATAAGTCATGATTTTTCATGGGATTTCATGGTGACTTCATGTTTTTTTTTTCGATCCACTCAGTTCCCAGAGATCCTTGGAACCTCCCATGACTGGACCATTCGACCATTCCTGGATCGCGTAACGGTCGCGTAACGGTGACCAGGCCATGGACAGTGCGCGCTTGACCTCGAAAGATGGGGGTCTTTCGCAGGGCACTGGGGGCCTCATGAGTCAGGCCCAGCAGATGGAGGTGATGGAGGTGATGTTATCCCAAGTAACAGATACCCGGCCTGGTAAACTAACAGTTTGCGAACTGGAAAATCACCATGCTATTAATGGGAAAATCCACTATTTCGACTGGGCCATTTTCAATAGCTATGTTAAATTACCAGAGGGTAGGAAATAAACATTAACATTGGTTATACAAGGAATTCTTATATAAGGAATTCTTATACAAGGAATTCTACTACAAGGAATTCTTATACAGTGCTTGGACTGTAGTTATAAAATGAACAGTGGTTATTGGATACAACTCACATGAAAACATATGAAGGAAAATCGTGGATAAATATAGTATTAACATTGGATGACGATAAAACTAACTATCAATCATTAGAGAACATTGGATGATATGGGATATTTTACGATATTTTGCTGTGTAGGAATGTATATTGTATGGAGATCTACAGGATTTGGTAGAATTATAATTCATAGTACATGTAACAATATATATTTGGATGTAATATATCGATTGTAAACCGAGACAAGAGTTTGCGAACTGGAAAATCACCATTCTTTTCAGTTGGGCAGTTTTCAATAGCTAACTAGGGTAGACATTTGCTGAACAAATTGAGGATATGATCACCTTAAATATGACAATTGCTCGTACTTTCGTTCTTGGACTATTTTACCCTCTGATAAACTAACATAACTATGGAAAATCACCATTTTTGATTGGGAACCTCACTACAAATGGCCATTTTCAATAGCTACGTTAAATTACCAGAGGGTATGAAGTAATGTTGGTCCTTATATTTTGAACATGGAATTCTAGGAAGGAACTCTTGGGATTTGTTGTGTCAGAAAGCCTGTTGGAAATCTGATGATGATTGCAATGATTTTCTGGGGAAGATCTCGATTTTATGTGATGTAATTAAGCAAGTATGATGAATATTTTAATGGGGGCTTTAGGAAGAAAAAACAGGATTGATACAATGTGATTTAGATCAAGTATGGTCCACGATTTAACAAAGGGGTTGAGGTTTTTATCAGCGTGAAATTACGGTTGGCTGCTTAGTGGCGACCAAACTGATGGAATAGTACTGGTGGATTGCCCATATTTAGTCGATATGTTCCCCATCTTTCTGTTTTTCACTTTTTCCCAGAAATTTCCCAGAAGGTTCCCATCCTTTCCATGTTAAAGCCATAGTTTCCCGTATATTTCCCTACAAATTTCCACTACATTGCAATATATATATATAAATATATCACATATATATATATAATATATATATATACATATGTATATGAAAGCCATATGAGTTCACACTTTCCCATGGTTTTCCCATGGTTTTCCCCGTATTTGTCCAGTATCTTCGCCGTATTTTCCCCGATGTTTGTCCCATCTCTTGGCAAAGTGCCGCGCCAGGTCGACTCGGCCTCGGCGCAGGCGGCGGATGCCATCATCGCGCTCGGCCAGGCGTGGCGTTTTATGGATGAATCGTCAGAAAGGAACCTGACAATATGGGAATATCTGGGAATATCTGTGATATTTCAATATATTAATGGGATAACTATGGGACAACTATGGGTGAATATGGAATATTTCATCTGATATATATATATATATAGTGATATGGGTGAATATCTGACATCTGATATGGGAATATATTATATATCTGTGATATTTATTGATATATTGATGGGATAGTATGGGATAACTATGGGATAGTTCATATCTGACTATATCCCATTATGGAATTTGGAATATCTGATATGGGATAGTTCAATATATGTCATAATGAATATGGAATATTTCATCTGATATAGATTTTTTTCGATACTCCCAGAATATGAATATGGGATAACTATGGGCTAATTATGGGATTGGATGAATATGGATATGGGAGAATAGTGGGATACTGATAGTACTGGATATTTATGGGATAACTGGGGAATGAAACGTGGAAAAATCCACTATGAATTGTCAGAAAGGAACCTGATAATATGGGTGGATATCTGACATCTGATATGGGAATATATGGGAATATCTGTGATATTTATTGATATATTAATGGGATAGTATGGGAATATCTGTGATAGTTCATATCTGACTATATCATACTATATCCCATTATGGAATATGGAATATCTGATTCTGATATGGGATATTTCAATATAATTCATAATTAATATGGAATATGTCATCTGATATATATATATATATAGTGATATGGGTGAATATCTGACATTTGATATGGGAATATCTGTGATATTTCAATATATTAATGGGATAGTATGGGATAAGTATGGGATAGTTCATATCTGACTATATCCCATTATGGAATTTGGAATATCTGATATGGGATAGTTCAATATATGTCATAATGAATATGGAATATTTCATCTGATATAGTTTTTTTATTTTTTTATTTTTTTTTCGATACTCCCATAGTATGAACATGGGATAACTATGGGCTAATTATGGGATTGGATGAATATGGATATGGGAGAATAGTGGGATACTGATAGTACTGGATATTTCTGGGATAACTGGCAGCTGGGGAATGAACCGTGGAAAAATCCATGAATCGTGGAGTCCCTGGAGGGGTATCCTGTTTACATGGGATGTGATGGTGGGAGTATATGTACTGTATGTATATATATATATATTATATTAGTATAGGAATGATAGTTATAACAATGATAATCATTCTAGTAATAATGATCATGATATATTGTAGGTGAATGATTGCCACAATGGGGATAAATTTGTGATTTTTAGCTCTTGATTTAGCCAGATTTCCCCCCAGAGGTATCTGGGGTGTTGGGAGTAAGCCTGATACTGTAGTGGGAACAGTTTCTTTCACTTTGGGGCGACGGATTTTTCAATAGTGGGGGCATAGTAATTTGACAATCATTCGAATTGCACTTTTGGGGATGACAGTTCAGTGGGGGTATAATGAACAGGGCAAGGATGTGGTAGGGCTATTTTTTGCAACCCGAAACATCCCCAAACTACCTGAATTGTCGGGCTTGTCTCAAAATTTACAGTAGAACAGAATGTCATCTACAATGGAAGGACTGACCTGTGCCAACTAAGGTGGTAAACTTTGAAGCCCTGAAAAGAATGTACTTTGAAACGGACATAAATAGGCTTTCCGATTCCCCAGGGAAAATAGTCTAAAAAATGAATACTCAATGATAATCACATAGTCATTTGACCTTGAGGCATTTTTGTTGATGCGTTTAAAAAGGCCGCCCTTTGTTACATCTGCACTGAGGCAAAGGTTGAAGCGCAAGAAGCCGCAGCCAGAGTGGGCAAGGCACACAGCCAGCAACGTGGTTATCTTCTACGCTTGGGGACACCCCCAACAACTAGCCCCTACGAAAAATGGCCAAGTGCAATTCTCGAGTCTTTTCTTTCGAACCCATGCCATTCAAGGTTCTAAATTATAATTCTCCAGCTTAGTTTTCATATCTTAGCCCCAATTTTGCTGTTTGGTGAAATTTCCCGGTTTTCCGTGGCCCCATCCACCGGGCTTGTTCTTTGGCGAACTTCCGATTCCTGCTGCTTTGCGTGGACAACTCCAGCAACAATCATTGTACATCATGTGAAAAGTTAGCATCCCAGAATTTAAAACATGAGTCTGATTGGGTAGGGTACCATCATTAACCATCATTAACCATCATTAACCATCATTAACCATCATTAACCATCATTAACCATCATTTTTAATGGATAATGATGGTTAATCATGGGCCTATGGGTACCTCAAAATCCATTGGTTCCAGTCGGGTCGTTCTCCAGGCTTTGGGCAAGACCTGGCAAGACAAGATGGATGAGCTCATGGTGTCGTGGTTCACAATGGCCGTTTTTTGGGTGCCTGAAATAGTGGTTTAGTATGGGGTAATGATGGTTAATGATGGTTAATGATGGTTAATGATGGTTAGTGATGGTTAATGATGGTTAATAATCACTGGTTGGTGGTTTGGAACATGACTTTTATGACTTTCCATTCAGTTGGGAATGTCATCATCCCAACTGACGAACTCCATCATGTTTCAGAGGGGTAGGTATACCACCAACCAGTTCATAATGGTTAAAACCACAAGCAGTAGTGATAGACTCCATGAATCAAGCCATATTATTGTGGTAAACATGTGCTCAGTAATCGTTAGTAGTAGTGAATAGTGGTGAATAGCGGTGAGATATGATGGATTTCACCACTATCAACCAAGATTAGCCACCAATCAACCATGGGTCAGTGGTAGGATATTATATGATACTAATATTATATTGGTTAGTAAGTGGTTAATGGTGGTTAACAGTGGTTAAGCCATAAGAAATGTATCATACGTTTCGAAAACATGGAATCCTTTTCCTACTGTTTTTTGTTGTCAGATGGTTGGTTGATTGTAAAACATTGTAAAACCATTTGATATGGATAGAACAGGGAAATCTCGAGGGACAGTCTAAGGATACATACAACCAGCAAAATTGGGTGAGCGGCTGCAAGAGCCTTGTTGCTTCATGTTGGTATTCTTACCATCATATCTTGGCTTTGCACCATGAGAAACGAGGATACAACTATATATGGCCCCATATATATATATGTATAACATAACCCAAAGTTCTGGTTGGCGGATGGTAGGTAGTATTTACTATCCTTTATATATAAATATATATATATATATAGGCGAGTATCGTAATCCAACGGGGAATCCACATTAACCGTTGTGATGTCCAATCGATTTGGGCACGACCCTCCGGAAATTCCACATGGCTATGGAAAAATGGTCCATTTGTGGATGGATTTTCCCAGCTATTTGCCCATCCCACCGGTGATTTTCCAGTTCGCAAACGGTCTCCAATCACCGGTCCTTCAACTATCCACGGGGTTGATCATTACCATCTCCAAGTGGACATAGAAACCCCATGTAGACATGAACAAATGACCGGTTGATCAAACTCGAGTTTTTCGATAGTTATTGGCTGTCACTTTTCTGTCACCAATTTCTGTGGACTTTGCCTTGTTGGTCTTGTTTTTTTTTCAAGATATATATGTCATATCCCATAGGATCCATGTATGGTATATAGGCTAACATTGGGGGTATATTGATGGTAAATGTTACCATATATACCATACATGGATCCTATGTCATATGTCATATGGAATTCATATGGTTTTTTTCATATGTTTTTTCCACCGCATCACTGAACGCATCCCGATGTTTTCCTTGGCACCGCACGGCGTTTTGGCCGAGGATGTCCACAAGGCCCTGCCGGACGTGGTCGCCGAGCTGCGGCGCCTCGATCCCAAGGAGTCCAAGGACTCGAAGGACTCGAAAGACTCGAAAGGCAAAGGGAAGAAACCCAAGAAGTGAGGCGTGAAGTTAAAAGCGCCATGAAAAATTTAGTAGGTCAATATAGGTCAATATAGTTGGTGATCAGTGGTAAATTTTCTAGTGATTCATGATGGTTAATGATGGTTAATGATGGTTATTAGTTGGTTAATAGTTGGTTATCAGTGGTAAATAAGAATGATTCATGATGGTTCATGATGGTGAATAATTGGTAATTCGTCCTTTTATTGATTAATTATAGTTAAAACCATAAGCAACGGTGATTAATTCCATGAATCAATATATTATTATGGTTAATAGAGCTTACTAATGGTTAGTAGTGGCGAATATTGGCTAATAATGGTTAGAAGTGATGACGAACCTAATTTCACTTCTATCAGCCATGATTAGCCACCAATCAACCATGGATCAGTGGTAGTAACTGGTAGAATTTTATGTGATATTATATATATATGGATTGATAGTGGTTGAGAATGGCTGATAGTGGTTGATAATGCTCATCAACCACTATTTTGATACTATTAAATTCTATTAACAAACGGTAAACAACATCAATGGAAGTATCTTCCGTTAATTGGAGTGTGAGCATATTCGATCCGATAGTGGAAGAAGTGAGTGTTAATTGGAACCAACTATAGTTGGAAGGGAGGTATGCATCGAATGATTATAATGATTAATAATGATCAGCATGTTCGTATCCAGATTCCCTATTTTCGAGAGTAATTGGAGAGTAGGCGACATTTCGTTTTTTTTCCACATCACCTGAGGGAACATGTTTTTTTTTTCCGGAAGGATTAACACCTATACAAGGAAAAAACTGGTAAATTGGCACAGACTGTCGATAAACACTTTTGGTAATTTGAGATGATTGTTGATTACGATGAAATACAAGCTTTCTGCCCGAGACATCTGATGGGCAGCAATAATTTGAACAAGAGCTGGTAATAAAACAGATGTTACAGAAATATGGAGGTTTCCTATAGGGGTACCCCCAGTTCTCATCCATTTTTTGTTTTGGATTTAATGTTAAAAACCATCCAGCTCCATATATTGAGCCTGTCAATCTTGGGTTTCCTCCTGCTGGTCGAAGATACATCCACCATGGTTTCGGCACAAAAGCATTACGGGGATGGGATTAATCATGGACTAAACCCCTTAAATCATGGACTAAAGCCACTTATTTCTGGGTTGTCATATCTCTATTTCCATGTAAGTTGTCGGCCTCGTGGCAGTTCCAAACACAGCCTTACCAGTGGCAGCACTGGTGGATGGTCCGTAGAAAGCTGAGCTGGTGATGATAGTGAAGTATGAAACATGTCTGGTTGGTGGTGACTGGAACCATGGAATTTGGATTGACTTTCCCATTCAGTTGGGAATGGGATAATCATCCCAACTGACGAACTCTTCATATTTTTCAGAGGGGTAGGGCTCAACCACCAACCAGATGAAGTTCAGAGTTCCGAGTTGCATGCTTTCTTGTCCAAAGTTTATACATCTCCAGCGAAAGAGGCCAGAGCTGATGTGCATTTGTGACACATCTGGCATTGCTGGGAGGTCAAAAGAGTGACATCAGCGCTGCGCGTTCCTAATTCCTAAAAGGTGTTTGCCTGTACCAGCGCAAAAAAATGAGCCATAACCCCGTTTTTATCGCACTTCTCTTCTCACCGTGTGCCACACACATTGTAACTCCTACATAGGTTTCTTCGGGGACTTCAGGATAGGAGCTGACTTTCTCAATTACTTTACTTCGTGTGATCCCCACCATGACATTTATACATTTTCTTACTGGCAAATCTTCTGGCATTCTATCTGACATATCTTCTGACATTCTATTTGGCATTCTATCTGGCATATCTTCTGGCATATGATCTGGCATATCTTCTGGCATATCTTCTGGCATTCTATCTGGCAAATCTTCTGTCATTCTATC